TATATTGATACATTCATTAGACTGGGATTAATTGTGAGGTTTTTCTGGTTAAGTTTTCTAATGCATTTGGTTACTGAACAAGAAAACATTTCAAAAGCTTAATTCATCTTTTAATATTTGAAGCTAAAATTAAAATTGTGTCTTTAATGACTATGAATTGTATGAGTAAATATTGATGTTTTTGATTAATAAAACGTAAGGATTTTACTATTACCTCTGCTCATATGTATTTATAAGCAGATTGGCTTTCAAAGGAAATGGAAAAGGTCAGTTTTGATGTTCCATTTGCTCTTCATTGGCTTTATATTTAGACAGAAAATGTTACAAGGGGTATAAATTGTCTATCCAAAGTGTTCGTTTTCTACTTACAGCAGTCAGAAAAGGATACTGAACTTGGTGTTGGTCAGGTTGAGATGCTCTGTAGGGGAAAAATATTGCTATATATTTTGAGTAAGCAATAAATACTGTATATCAGTATATTTGTTTTTTGAATGTCACTGTTGCACTTTCAGGCATATGCAAGCTCAGTGGTCTGCCTGTCTGCATCATTTTCTCCTGGAAGGGCAGTTTAACAGTTTTCCTGGTTGGATTGTGTTAATATCTTTAAACGCTGCATTCACTAAAACATGTGTTCAATGTTTGGACAGCCAAAATCTGTGCAATAATTTTAATGGAGAATAACTTAGCAACTCTGCTGTTATCACAGATATCTTATTGTTAAAGCTGCATTAAAATATCCTCAATTTGGAGACTGTTATTTCATATTTAAATTTTTCTGAGCTGTGCCCAAGTATACTTTTGCACTATTTGAAAAATAGATTTTGCCAGAAAAGCAATAGTTTATGTAAGTTAAATAAGGACATGCTTGATATTGTTCAGTTATTTTAGTATATTTTTAACTAATTAAATTTGAGTGTCTACCATAAGCTGAACAATATGCTAGATATCCTGCCTAGATTACTTGAAATTATGGCCATTAGTAATGACAGCTGGGTAGAAGATAGACCATGGGAGACAGTCATGAAGTGACCCAGTCAAAAGCAAAGCATCTTCGGGATTCTGTCAGAACAGGACCATTGTGATGTGTCTAATGTTAGCATTGTTGCCCTCTGTTGAGAGTTCAGATTTCGATGCCTCCTCTGGTGATAGTATTGTGTTTTTGTCCTGGGGAAAGGGACGGCTAACTAAGGTAGTGAAAAAGACTGAGATTCCATTGGAGAAATCCAGGGCAGACCAATGCTAATCGACTTAGCAGCCTACAAGCTGTTTCACTCCTTGCCTTTAGAATTGTTTTGGAAGTTTTCTTGACACTTCTTTTTGAGACCCGGTAGGGGAAAAAAGCCCCCTTGTTTTTGTTAGAGGATACAGAGAACATTAATTGACAGTCCAGTCTTTATTTGGCACAGCTTTCCCTGATACCTTTGTCCCCTCTAACTTACTCGTGCTCTGTCTGCCTGAGGCCAGGTTCCTTGGAGCAGGTTTTAGTGACAAGAAGTTGAAGAAGCAGATACTGGAAAATTCAGCCTTTTGTGATCTTTCCTGGCTTTGATAAATTCAGCTTTCGTATTGACAAGTTGTTTAAACCTTTGCCATTTTTTCAAGTGGTGAAATACATTTATCTCAGAGGAAAACTTGAAACTTTAAAGTTGATTTTATTATAAAAGAGAAAATCAATTTTAAAGTATTATTTGTATTTATATCTGTAATTACTTATTTTTAAAAATTTAATAGCCCTCTCCATTGAAAGGCACCATATTAATATTTGCTAAGTATGCCAAAATGCTAAATTTGGCTAGAAAAATTTCCCAGCAGTTATATATCATTGTCCCTCAGTGTATAAAAAGTAATTGCCTGTTACGGTGACAAAAATATGTAGTTCAATCACAATATCTAATTGAATCACAAAAATAGAAAGAGTAACACTCTCTTCAGTTTTGTAGATTTGTCTAATCTAATATTAACAAAGTGTTAACAATTTCCAAAATAATATAGAAAAGAAGCCATCTTCAGACATTTTAGTAAATTAAAATTGTGAAGAATAAAAAGCACATACCAAGTTGAATTTATATTATGCCTTACAAAATCATTAAACTGTATTTATAGACTCAATTTTTTAATGATATATGCTAATTATATTTGAGGGTGTGACTTTGGGACATCAATGTTACTTCTAAATTTTAACATTTTCTGGAATTTGTATTTTATTTTATACATTTTAATGCTTTTCAGATATCAGAGCTAATTTTAAAAAGCAAAAATGAAACTTGGGTACTTTCTAAATTAAATAAAGTATTGAATGTAAAATGCTGAACTCAAAGCCTAGCACATAGCAACTCCATGGCAATCAGTTGTTTATGACTCCGATCGTTATTTCTGATTCTCCTTGCCCCACTCTTTCTCTTACTGGTTTGTATACCATGACAATTTCCATTAACTTAAAGCATTACTACTTTTCATTGTGTCTACCCTCTAGCTCTAGGTGTTTTAGAAATTTCTGGAATTATTTCTGCAACTGTAAGATCATAACGCCTGTTCAAGAACACACATGTTTACATAACACGCATACAAAGGTGTTGAAGAGCTTTACCTTCTGCAATACCAATAGCTTATTTCCCACGTTCTCTAGGATCCAAGAGCTTTTGTGGGTCAAGAAATGAGTGGGATATGATCCTGGCCTGCAGCTGATCCTGCAGAGACGGACATGGGAAGGCTGGTTCCGTGTAATTTTAGTGCGCCTGTTTGCTGCTGGAGTTTGGGTTCCCTCATATCTTAAACTAGTTCTAAAATACCATGAAAAACCGCGTATGTTTTTTAAAGGAAATTATGACTTCAACATAATATGTATTTGTTGCCTTCAGCATTAATTCAGACACTTTCCCTTTATTTATTTTAGACTTATTGAGAATACTGTCAATAATGTAAAAATATTTTATATAAAGGAAAAAACAAAAGTCCCTTCCCTACAGTTCCTTTACTGTCATTCCTCATGAGAAATAAGTTTCAGTATTTGGAAATGAATCCTTCCAGACCATTTACACAGGTTGGCACGCGTTCTCTCTCTCTCTCTCTCTCTCTCTCTCTCTCGCTCCATTTGTTGGTGTCCTCCCTGCTGTGGTGGTTGTTTTTCACAAAAATGAGATGATATTCTGCAATTCACTTATTTTATTAAATTTATGTGCATCATTTCATGTCCTCAGTGTTCTTAGTCTTTTTCATGGCTGTGTAATACTTGAATATTGATACATCTTGGTTTATTTAGCCTTTCTCCTTTGGAAACACACTCACGGTCTCTGGATTTCATCTACTTACACGTCATGTTGCATGAACTCCAAGGCTGGAAGCTTTTGTCCTGAATACATCTGTGCTTAGTTTCCACATTATACTTTGTAGGCTATAGGAAGCCTAGACTGTCTGCCTACGTTACTCATTGGCCTTAAGGGATCATTCTAAAGGTTGTCATTTAATGTTGGATTGGCCTCAGCCCAGAGTACCAGTTCTGTTGTGTGCAGTTTTAAGGTAACAGTAGCACTTTTATAGAAGTTTTCATTTCTACCTCTTAAAAATATAAAATGCATTGTCTGACTGGGATGGATTTTAGCTCTCACCTTTAGACACTATTATACTGGCAGAGGTCTGGGTTTTTGAGCTATAATGAAGATCTGATTGTCAAATCTGTTTTTTTAAATCAGCAATTTTTAAAAATCAGCATCTTTTAGAAAATTCTTTGAGACTGCATTTGTTTGTGTGTATGTGATTGTGAGATATTTTTGTCTCTTTATATTTTTAATCAGGTGCATTGAAATTTAACTTGTGACTGCCATAAATGACATAATTAGTCACCATCATAATCAAACACTAGTATGCCAAGGTTAGCATTTCATAGGGGGTGGGTATGGTGTTCATAAAATTTTAAGGTTTTCAGTTGCTATTTACTTAGTAGATCAAGTAACTTATTTTTGTCATGACCATTAGGTGTATCTTGCAGTTTAACATCTGCTGGTTTCAAACTGATGCATAGTTTTTAATTCTAAACTCTAATTGTGTAGAATGAAGGGAAAAATTAATTTATATACATATTTTGCTTGGGTGATTTTATTTCATATTCATGAAATCGTAATGTAGCATTTAAGGAAAGTGATAAATGATTAGAAATGTAGAGGAAGAAATACCACTTCTCTTTGGTAATATTGTAATTGTTCAGCATGTTTTAAGTAATAACTTGTAATAACTTGCTGTTAATTTTAGTATTTTTTGCCTTCCAATAGAGCTGGCATCCTATGATATCATAGCTATATTTCTTGATTTATTATTGGGCAGAGTATATTATGCACAGTGTGAACAACCACACTGAGCCAGTATTGAGAAAACATCTTTATTATTTGTGATGTTTTCTATGTTCAAATGGAACTGAGGTTCTTAATCAGATTTTAATGGACATGGACAAAGAAGGTTGTAAACCTTTTACTTTTGCAATAATTTCTTCCTTCTAGGTCTCCTTGAATATCTAGTAGCATGAACTTTTCATTTGCTACAGCATTTACATGCTATTGTAGTGTTTTCCTTCTCCACAAAACAGTATTTCCTAATACTGTTTGGTTATATGCAAGTATACCCCAAAGTGAATTTAAAAAATACTTTTATTCTTAAGTAATATAAAGAAAAAAGATTGAGATATGAAAATGTGAAATACAGTAATTCAGTTTATAACACAAATATTTTATAATGAAATACATTTTTGATGACATAGATATAATTACAAATCTTATTTTTATTTTGTACCAGTATTATAAACTATATTGAAAAATTTTTTAAAGGGCAAAAGTCAAATGACTATACAGTTGAAAGAGTTGTGGCAAATTTATTTGGATAAAGTTGAATTACTAATTTTTTCATTACTTACTGAATTTAAGTAGTTTATTTTTATTTTTTAATTAAAACTACCATCATATACTTGAAAATATGCATTCTCTTCAACATTAGGTTTTCTTTGTCTTTTTCAGTCTGTGATCAAAACAGGGCGACTGCTAATCAGTCATGAAGCTCCCTTGACAGGCGGCTTTGCTTCGGAGATCAGTTCTACAGTTCAGGTAGAGTAACTTTTTGGCATTGATTTTAACATTTATGTAATTGAACGTGTCTATTCCAAGACAAAATTACTTATCACAATATATAAAAGAATGCACTTTTTGGAAATGCACATTTTTCATTTGACTTCACTGTCTTTTAGTTAATGGTATAATTACATCATCTAGAAAAGAAACCTTAAAGTAATGAAAGCTGAAATTCTTTTATAAAAAGAAGAAAATTTCCAGGTTTAATAAACTAATGTCAGTTATGTTTACTAAGATAACAGGAAAACCTTTTTAGATATGAATGTGGTATTTCTTTCTTGATAAAACTTAAACTTATTATGAAATGTGTTATTATTTTAAAATTGATCTTAGAGTCTCCTGCCTTCACCTAACAAAAAATGAAGCTGTCAATATTTACTAATGTAAATTCAATAAATAATTTCAAAATCAACAATTTGATTTATTAGTTTAATTAGTAATGTTTTGTTATGCTATTTGTAACACTTTACAAATAGTTGAAAAACTTATTTCTGTTTTGAAAGTGTTCAGTAAAGATGCTGCATATCAGGAAAAATTTCAATATACATCTGTATGGAGAATTTTTACTTAAAACTTTTATTAACATGTGTATCACAGGTATGAATAAGATGATTTAAATGATTTTCATTATCCCTAAGTCTTAAAATTAAAAGTTATATAACTATATTTTAAATGTATCTACATTTTAAATTTAAAAAGCTTTGCAGTTTGCAGACATTTTACTTTTCTTTATGAGTATTATTAAAATGTATAAATTGAGAATTCTTTTAAGAGTGAATGGTTTAAAAACTTGATATACGATTATGATGTATGAGAAATGGTAAGTTTTTATTTTTAAACTTTTAACCAGTGAACAGTGATTTCTATCTTTAAGTTCTAATTGACAACACTAAATATTTTTAAATTAGATGAAGCAAGTTTAAACATGTTTTTAAAGCTAGATCAAAATAATCCATAAGTAGATCCAGAAATAAAATATACTGTTATTTTTGTTACATGTAGATTTGTTGTTTTCCTATTTATTATATAAATTAAAATTTGAAACATACTCTTTATTATGTAACATGAGTACCTGGTATTTATTGTGCATTTTATTCATTGAGTAGCTTAATGTACTAACTTTGTAAGGAAGTGAAAGTTGCAGAAATGAATTATTTCAACACCAAGATGCTATTTCAAGTTAGAGGAGAAGCTGGAAAAAAATCCTGGGATTTTCTGACCCCTAGTTAATATGTAGTCCGCTAAAGAACCTTTTATCTGGCAGCCTTGATTGAATGACATCTTATTCTTATCTCAAAAATTTATTTGCATTTAAATATAAAGGGAAAACAGGTAGAACACACATAACCCCTCTTGTGAAGCTAGCTTTCTCTGAGTTTCCCTTTTAAATTTGATCTTCATAAAATGTTAGTAAGCTGCAATATATGCAAAATATGGAATATAACATATTTTTGAACTGGGAATGAATTAGAAAGATTATCTAATCTAATGCCTCTTGGTCTTGAATAATATGTGTACTTGTGTTGACAGAAAATATTTCCCAGGCCCCAAGAATACATGTATGAATTCTAGTTTGAGGAAGACCATATTATGGGTTAAACACAGCATAAAAAGCTAACATCAACAGGATCATAAACACTTGAATCAAATCAGAACCTGAAATTATGTGATATTAATAGGTGCTAAAAGTTGTGAAGGAGATCATCCAGAATATAATTATATTTAAATCATAATATGAAGAGTACTTTGAAATACTCTCATACTCCCCAGAATATGCCCAGAGATCTTCAGGCATCTGCTATCTGAGAAATCCTGACAACCTAAACCAACCATATTCCTTTTTTCAATTAAGTGTTTATCGTTCAGAGTGCTTGTGATTTACTCAGTTTAAAAAAGACAGTGGAAGCTCCGGGACTTGGACAGGAACATTGAGTAAATACTGTGTGTGTGTGCATGTGTAGTCTTTATTCAAAGCCCCCACGCCCGCCCAACATCCAAGGGGAAGATAGCAGTTTTAGGTTCATTATAAAATGTTCTCTGTTTTCCATGTTAAAATTATCCAACCAATTAACCAGAAAATTAATTAAGGCAATAATGTAAAATTTGTAGGGGTATCTGCATTCGATATTTTGGGAAATTAGAATTTGACTTATTAATATGTGAATGAACTTGAAACTGTTCACAGTTTTTGCTTAATTCAGATTTTATCTGCACAAATGGAAACTGTGAAAAACACATTTTAATACAATATAATCAACATAGCATCCCCTCAGATTTGCCTGTAGGCTTTTATGTGTTGATAAAGGAAAAACGAAAGAAAGCTAAGACACCTTGAGAGACTTTCTTCTTCTTTTTCTTTTATAACTTAATTATTGCATATAATTTAGAGTATTCTGAATAACAAAATCTACTTTTCAGTAGTTATTTCATGCACATATTCAACTAAATGCAATGTACTATGTGGAGCAACTTCTTCATGGAAGGTCTCATTTCCTATTAAAAGTGAAGCTTGTATCAAATTACCAGTGCCTTGGGTTGTTTAAACTGAAATCACTTATGTGTGAGGCGCAGTTGCTTTCACTGTTTAGAATGAGTTATTTTTCTGTATTTCTTTTTGTTGTGTATACTTAGTAAGGTTAAAAAAAAGTAAAACAGGGTTAAGATGTTTCCCCAGGGATTGCAAGGAAGAGGTACACAGAGAACTTTTCTGTGTACGCAAAGAAGTTTGAAATTATGGATAAAATAATCTATAAATTTGAGCATTATTGATTAAAAGAATGATTTATTCTCCTTATTGTATCAGTGAGTGTAAATTTTATGTGAAAGTGAGCATACACCAGATAATCCCCAGAAATACTATTTTGTGGAAGATGTTTGGTAACTTTAAAAGCTCAAGGCTAATCTTACGAAGTTGCTCTTAAAAATTACCATATTTTAATGATTATTTTATTATCAAGTGAAATAATATTTAATGTATTTATAAAAATGATTTTATTACTATTATATTTTAATCAACATACTGATTATTAATAATAAATGACTTTTAAATACATTCATATCTGAGAGCATGATTTTGTTTTTCTCAAGTTCTCAATACCCATATTAAAAATAAAAAATTGAAAAGAATACAGCACTGTAGGGAATGCTTTTTTAAGGGTATAGTTGGTATTTTTAGATAGAAAAATTATGTCATGCTCTATAAAATTGGATATCAAATTAAGGAACTTTTTTTGCTAGGCGTAGGAAAATTTGCTGGTATTACTATTAGGAGTATTTTTAGTTATACAGATAAAATATGGAAAGAATGAATATAAAATATATTTATATTTTGTTTACATAGTTTTCCACCTTACTGCAGATGGCACTTCCATTATACAAGGAGTTCAGTGTCTGCATCTTACGTTTGTTCATGTCTGTTGTCTCTTTTTCATAAAGTCATTTATTTTAAAAAATTTTATTGTTAACAATCTAAGTTTGAAATAATGTTAAACTCGTAAGAGTGATTACGAGACTACTTTATATTGAATATAAAAATGTTTTACTTATATTTGTCAGTAGTTTCTTGATAAAATATATACTTCAAAAATCAAAACCAATACATTGAATCTAAGAACTGCTTTGCATTCCTATTGGGTTTAATCTGAAAGTTAACTGGGAAGCACAACATGCTGAGGTCTGGTATATTTGGCTCCCCTCAGGGGAAGATTTCTTGGTCGGTCATCCAAAGCTTCACTGTCTTTTCCCATCTAATTTTACATTCCCATCTGTTCTCATTTTGGGGTGAGGGAACTTTTTCCTTCTTTCATTTGACATACACACCAAGACTTGGAAATGTGCTTCTTTCAGGGAGTTATGCATCCCATTGTGCACCCTGCTTTGTGGAAAAGTGCAAAGACAACAAAGTTTAGGTAATTCATTGACCTCATTGCTTAGTTTGAGAGATTTCGTTATTTCAGAAAATAATATGAACTAATTTTATGTGATGTTTTAGTCCTCAGCTTTACGTGACCATAGCTATAAAAAAAAAAAAAACAACCAACTTCATTGTGTAAAAAAAAGAAAAAGGTGTTAACCTCACCAATTTAAAGTTCCTCCAGATGAATTTATGTTTTAAATGCAATATTCAAAATAGGCATTATTTATTTAAATATTGAGACCAAGTAGTTTGTGGTATTTTAACAATTTTAAGCTTTAAATAGCATACTTTCTTTAAGCCTTGTAGAAACTAACCTTTTTTTTTTTTATTAATTTCTAACACATTCTCATAATAAATAAATCTTCAATCTGATAGGCTGTGATAATAAAAAAATGTTTTTTCTGGATTCAGTGCTTAATAAGAGTGCCAAAAATTTCAGAGATTGGGATTGGTTTAAAGGTTTGAATTTTTTTTTAACACATGGAAGCAATAAGTCTGTAATAAAGAGTCCAGTTGGAGAGGATGGTAAGTTTCCATACCATTGTTCCATCTTTTCTGTGCGGTCTCTTTTCCTAAAATAAGAATGCAGAAATTGTACATAGCGACATATATTTTTTTAAGGTAATCATAATCTAATAGTTTGAGAATATTTTTATAGGGTTTATACAAATCATTTTGTTAAAAACAATTTCATAATTTTAAGTAAAGGAATTTAGCTTTTCTTACTGTTTCATGTTAGAAAGTCTTCTACAAAAAGATTGTATCTAATGAGATAATATTGCTACCAAATTTATAAGCACTCCTAAAAGCATCAGTCTCAAGAAGAGGAAAAAGTTTGAGTGGTCTTGAGTTTTTATCATTGTGAAAATATGTTTATTTAAAATTACTATGTTGATAAAGTAAGAGTCATCAGAGAAAATTATCAGAGTAGTAATTTGATGAATAGTTTACTGCAATTTTGTAATCTTAATTTTTTTAAACTAGTGATGCAAAGCATTTGCTGACAGCAACAGATATAATAATCAGAAGGGTACTTCTATGCTAAAATCTATTTAGATGG